TTATATAGAGGCTACAATACAACACGTACACAAATGTATGCTTTATTCCTAAAATTGCAATGTACATTATTTTAAATTCTATTCCATTATACATGGTATACATGTACAGTGTATGTACTGCAGCATAATTGTCTTGTTTTTTTCATATATATACACACATATATACATGTACATTATTGTACATGCATTAGGTTGCTTCAGCTCAATGTTTCTAATAATCCGATAATGTCGATACCTTCTCCTTTGAAGAAGCAATCTCAGAGTAAGCCACACCCACTGGTGGAGCTAAGAGCTTGTAACTGCTCACTGAGTGGAGGCAGCATCAAATCAATTATCAGGTGAGGGACAATACACACACACAAATACCATGGGATTTAAAATATATATCTGACTGAGACACTCATGCATGTACATGTCCTACATGTATGTACTGTATGTATTACTAATAGGTATTTTATATTAAGTATATGTTATTTTCTTTAGTTTGAAGAAGCTCAAGGCACTACACATTGCTTATAATTCAATCAATGAACTACCACCAGAGTAAGTGCATGTATAATGTATAAGTATGTACATGTATAAGTATGTGTGTATAAGTATATGTGTATGTATTAGGGCGAAAACTTAACCATAAAAATATAAGTATATTTTTTAAACTAGCAATTTTATATGCGTTAAGGCCCTTGATGTACATGTGTACACCATGGTTGTTTTGAATATTACCTAGTTCAGTCAATCTTCTCACTAAAGAGAGAGAAAGAGCAAAGACGAGAGAAGATTCAATATAATTCACTTTCTTCCACTAGGTTATTCACTTCACTGTCTGAGTTAGAATATCTCAATGTTTCCTCAAATAAACTTGAGACGATACAAGAACCTCCTCACTCCTGCCCTCATCTGGTCTGTCTCTTATTGCACTCTAACAGTTTAAAAGAGATTCCTCCATTCCCTTTAATGCCTGCAGTGGAGACTCTTGATTTATCATGTAATGAGCTACAGACAATGCCACAAGTAAGGATTATACACATGTACATTGTGTGTATGTGTGAACATTACTTTGCTATACTTTTTGAGCATATTTTTGCCATTTTAGTGAGTAAATACATGTATAGAGTTGCAGTGTCCTTTTGCATTGTGTATTTGATACATTTGTATTGTTGTATTTGTGTATTTGATAAAAAATATTATGCTGGTATTATTTTTGTGTTTTTTTTTTTTTTAGTTACAGAAGTTTCGACGCCTAAAGTCCCTGGATCTATCGCACAATAAAGATATAGTCATTGATGTTAAAGACTTGGACCATTTACGGTAAGAAATTATATAGTGAGAAAAAATCAAAGAGAAAGAGAAAAAATTGAGAGCGAAGCTAGAGTGAAGATAAAGGAGCACACTAGTTTGATGTTTTAAAATTCTTGTGATAATGTTTGAATAATGTTGATTGTCAATGAATTTTTTAAAATGTGTGGCCTAAAATAAATATTTTACCAATTTATCATTATAGCTCAATTGGTATTTTTATCTCATGGCTCATCCTTGTGTAGCCTTGCTGAAAACTAAATTATACATTGCTTTAAAATTTATTAAAATTAGTCAAAATT